GTAACTAGCTCCCTTAAGGTTTACTAAATAAGTAGTAGGAGTCTAAGAAATAAGATAGATGAGCTAAGATTACTTGCAAGTGCAGGTAATATAGACATTATTGCTATAACAGAGACCTGGTTCAACTTGAAAGATAGAGAAATGCCCTTTGAATGCAACATACAGAGTTATAAACTATTCCATACTGATAGGGTCAACAGGAAGGGTGGTGGAGTGGCGATGTATGTCAGAGATAATTTAAATTGTTGTGTTAGACAAGATATAAGATTAGCAACATCGGGTGCAGAGTCTGTTTGGCTACAGTTTCTCAAGGGTCATGGAAAGTTAATTTTGGGTGTGATTTATTGGCCCCCACACCTTGACAGAGAGTGCAGTAAGCTGCTATGGGATGAAATTCATAAGGCATCTAGATATGAAAATGTTGTGTTAATGGGAGATTTTAACTTCATACAAATTGATTGGAACAATGTGAGAGAAAATCTTGAGTCTAGTGACTTTCTTGATACGGTTCAGGAACGCTTCTTAAAACAGTTTGTGACAGAACCAACTAGAAGAAACAATCTACTTGACTTGGTTCTTGCCAACAAAGAATTACTAGTTAATAATCTTGAGGTTAATGATGAGCTTCGGGAAAGTGATCGCAAATCACTTAGTTTCAATATATCATGGAGTTACCTGAATAACTGCAATCAAATCTCTGTCCCAACTTTCACTGGACTGATTTCATGGGACTGAAAAATTACCTGGGTGGGCTAAATTGGGATGTCCTGACTATGGGTCAGGTAAGTTATCTTGGTTGCCAATATGAAGTTTTTCAGAGCATAGTTCTAGCTGCCCAGAGAACTTTTGTTCTGAGTAGGGAAATTAGATCTAACAGAAATGATCCCAAATGGATGAACAATAGATTAAAACATCTCTTTGGTCAAGAGAGAAGAATATATAGGTGTATCAAAAGAGGGGAGAGGCAGTTAAGAAATCAATATATTTAATTTACCCTTAAACGGTCCAAACGTATATTTACGTTCACTTGCGCAGGGCCCCAAATATTTTGACAAAAAAAAAATCATCTTTTTTTTTATAGAAAAAAGAGCACAAGGTACTAAGTGGTCCCAGATTTTTTTAATGTGGTGCACACAGAGTGTTAAGACCCATTCTATGCTGACCAGGCATCTCAGGGCAATCGTGCCAAATTTTGGAGGCAGGAAAATTATATATATATACGTTTGGGGTGCTACGCATAAGAACGTATATATACATTTGGACAATTTAGGGGTTAGAGAGAGAAATAAAAAAAGGTATAAGAAAACAAAAAGGGATTACGAGGCTAAGGTCTCAAGGATTTTCGAAGACTAACCCAAAAGGGTTCTTTCAGGTATACAGAAGTAAGATTAGGGACAAGATAGGCCCACTTAAGAGTAACTCAGGTCAGATCACTCACAGTGATAAGGAAATGTGTGAAATTTTCAATTCTTACTTCCTCTCAGTTTTTACTCATGAAGATACTTGCAAAATTCCATAAATAATAGATTATGTAGAACAGGACAAACATAAACTATGCACAATTGTGGCTAGTGACATGGTCCTCAGACAAATAGAGAAATTAAAACCTAACAAATCCCCAGGCCCTGATGAACTGTTTGCAAGAGTATTAAAGGAATGTAAAGAGGAACTTAGCATACCTTTGGCTAATCTTTTCAACATATCACTACAAACTGGCATAGTGCCTGACAGGTGGAAAATGGCAAATGTAATACCTATTTACAAGGCAAGTGACAGGTCCTTAGCTTCGAACTATAGACCATTAAGCCTTACCTCCATAGTGGGAAAATTTATGGAATCGGTAATTGTCGAAGCAATTCGTAGCCATCTCAAAAGGCCTAAGTTGATTAATGAATCTCAGCATGGTTTTACAAAGGGGCATTCCTGTCTTATGAATTTACTAACTTTCTTCACTGAGGTATTTGAGGAGGTAGATCATTTTATTGAATATGATATTGTGTATATGGACTTCAGTAAGGCTTTCGATAGAGTTCCACATCAGAGGCTATTGAGGAAACTTATGGCACACGGAAAAGGAGAAATTTTTTCCTGGGTTGAAGCATGGTTGACGAATAGGCAGCAGAGAGTTTGCATAAATGGGGAGAAATCGTAATGGGGGAACATCACAAGTGGTGTTCCACAGGGATCAGTGTTGGGCCCCTTGTTGTTCACAGTCTACATAAACGACATAGATGAGGGAATAAATAGCGACATAAGCAAATTTGCCGACAACACCAAAATAGGGCGTCCAATTCATTCTAATGAGGACATTAGAGCACGCCAGGATTATTTGAATAGACTGATGCAGTGGTTGGAGAAGTGTCAGATGCAATTTAATATAGACAAATGTAAAGTTCTAAATGTTGGACAGGAAAATAACCATGCCACATATAAACTAAATAATGTAGGTCTTAATATTACGGATTGCGAAAAGGATTTAGGTGTTCTGGTTAGTAGTAGTCTAAAACCAAGACAACAGTGCATTAGTGTTCACAATAAAGCTAACAGAATCCTTGGCTTCATAGCAAGAAGTATAAATAATAGGAGTCCTCAGGTTGTTCTTCAACTCTATATATCTTTGGTTAGTCCTCATTTAGATTATGCTGCGCAGTTCTGGTCACCGTATTACAGAATGGATATAAATGCACTGGAAAACGTACAAAGGAGGATGGCAAAGTTGATTCCATGTATCAGAACTCTTCCCTATGAGGATAGATGGAGGGCCCGGTACCTGCACTCTAGAAAAGCGTAGAATTAGGGGGGATATGATTGAGGTGTATAAATGGAAAACAGGAATTAATGAAGGGGATGTAAATAGCGTGCTAAAATTATCTAACATAGACAGGACTCGCAGCAATGGCTTTAAATTGGAAAAATTCAGATTCAGGAAGGATATAGGAAAGCACTGGTTTGGTAATAGAGTTGTGGATCAGTGGAACAAACTCCCGAGTACTGTCATAGACGCTAAGGCATTGTGTAGTTTTAAAAATAGGTTGGATAAATACATGAGTGGGTGTGGGTGGGTGTGAGTTGGACCTGACTAGTTTGTGCTACTAGGTCGGATTCACTGCTCCTCCCTTAAGTGACGTATCTGACCTCACTAGGTCAAGGCATTGGCTTAAGCCAGTACGAGAATTGGAGCTGCCTTGCATAGGCCAGTAGGCCTGTTGCAGTGTTCCTTCTTTCTTATGTTCTCTCTGTCAATGTCTGTCTAGCTCTATGTTCATCTCTGTCTCTGTCTCAGAGAGCCCCCCCTCATGAACCAACAGGCATTACACAAAGATGCAGAGTCATCATGTCTGATTCCTGAACAAGTGAAAATATATATTACTTGCCAGTCATGCTTATTACACCTTATATCTGCAAGCACATTATAGCACTTTGTCTAGATTTTTTTTGAGTTATCCTAGGTAATTTACACTATGAATAATAACTGTATTCATGTGTACCTGTGAGAGAGAGGTACAGAAATAGAGATGAGGAAAGACAAAGACAGGGATAGACAGAGACAGGGAAAGAGATAGATACAGACAGAGAGATGGAGATAGAGACAGCCAAAGTCAATCAGCCAGCCGTCCAGCCTGCCTACCGAACACGTAATACTACACACGTTACCGAATTGTTTCTCTTTACTTAGGGCATAGATTATAGGACTTTCTGGCAGGATGACATTACCACTAACCGTGTTATGGTTAGTGGTATCAAAATTGAAAGGATGTTGCACATGGGTAATTATTGAGGTTTTTGATATTTCCTCGACCACTTGTGGCCACATCCATCACTTTCCTCTTAAAAGGGGAGTGTTAATACGATATGACATAAGTGAGTCCTTAGTGTTTGCCATGCTATTTCCTCTACCTGGCGCTCAATTGAACTGGTGCTCCCACAAGATACTAAGTGGTCCCATATTTTTTAATACTGCATACACCAAGTGTTAAGAACCCTTCTATACTGATCAGGCATCCCAGGTCAGTCGTGCCAAATTTGGAGGCAGGAAAAATAAAATGATCTCTGTTTGGAGCGCTAGCAGTAACAATGTAAATCTACGTTTGGACAGTTAACAGGTTAATGCCTGTGTACTGGATGTATCCTCTTTTTTTTTTTTTAACACAGTGGCTGTCTCCCACCAAGGTAGGGTGACCCAAAAAAGAAGAAACGCTTACACAGTCAATTACTCTATCAATGTCTTGCCAGAGGCACTCTTGTACTATAATTCAGATGTCCCTCGAAACTGCAGATATCCCCATCCTCTCCTTCAGAGTGGAGGCACTGTACTTCCCACCTTCTGGACTTACATCTGGCTAACCAGTTACCCTGAATCTTGATGAAGGCTACCTTGCTCACACTCCAACAGCTTGTCAAGTCCCAAATACCATTTGCTTCCACTCCTGTCTAAAATGCTCACTCTCCTCCTGTATGTCCAAGCCCCTTGCACACACAACCTCCTTCACCCCCTCCCTCAAGCCTTTCCTAGGACGGCCTTCACCTTAACCTTCCCTCCACTACAGATATATACACCCTAGAGGGCATCATATTTTGCTCCATCATCTCTAAATGTCCTAACCACCTCAACAACCCTTCATCAGCCCTTTGGATAATACTTTTAGTAAATCCCCCTTCTAATCAACAAGCTATGAATCCTCTGCATAATATTAACACCACACATTACTCTCAGACTTGACATCTCCACTGCCTCCAGCCTCCACCTCAATGCAGCACTCAACTCGTGCTTCATACTCGTACAAGTGTGTTGGTATCGCTGTTCTCTTATACATTGTCTTTTATTAACTAAATCATTTGTTAACCTCATCACCTTGCTCATCTCTATTTTCACTTTTAATTTCCTTCCTTTATGTACCCTCCCAAATTCATCCATCAATCTTTGCAACTTCTTTTCAGAATCTCCCATATTACATTTTCTTTTTATTCAATATCACTTTTGTTTAATCTTACTTTTGCAGATACATGGCTTTAGGAGTTGCATTGCGGTATGTAATGGAAGCTCTCCAGAAGCCACATGCTAGCAAGATGTATTACTTCGGTATTGTGGCCTTAGATAGGTTTCGTAGTCGTCTGAAAGAGTATCCTCGGTATTGTCAGCACCTCATGGCAATACAGCATTTCAGTGAATTTCCACCACACCTTATTGAGGTACAGTATGTCTAACTTAAAACATTGCATGATTTAGGGAGTATGTTTCTCATTTTTTGTCTGTGCAGAACCATATTAAAATAAATTATGACTCCTAGTGCAGTATTGAAAAATGATAAACTGTCGTAGTACTTAACCCTTTCAGGGTCGACAGGCCCTCTCCCAGACTTCTTCTCAGGGTCGACAAATTTTCAAAAAAAAAAAAAAAAATATGAAAAGATAGAGAATCTTTTCCCGGTCATAATGACACTAAAAATATGAAATTTGGTGGAAAACTTACGGAATTATGCTCTCGCGAAGTTAGCGGTCTTGACGATGTTTACACATCGGCGATTTTGCCCGCTTTGAGCCCTATTTTCGGCCAATTCCAGTGTACTACTCAACAAAAATCATAACTATTTCGCTAGAACTCCATTTTTTCTATTGAATGAGTACAAGAAACCACCTATTTACCGATTTCAACTATCCAATAAAGTGGTCAGAATTTAGCAATTTTGCCAATTTCACACAAATTTCAAAAGATGCCAATTTCCAAATAGGGTTCAGAATAAACAAGAAAGACATTCCTGGCACTAAAATAACATTTTCTCTGTTCATTAGTCAAGTCCCCACGCCCCTCTTACATTCTTTTGCTTTCCACTTTGAATTTTTATTCTCACAAAAAATGGAAGATTCACTGTTATGCAGACTACTGCATTAGTGTAGAAATGGTATAAATAATATCAGCACACTTGTAAAAGAATATTCGACTCAGCAGTTGACGTGTATTGGATGCATAGCATGATTTGTTTACTTTTGAACTTTGGCAAAAATTGAAGATTTCTGCTACATTGAGCTCAATTTCAAGGTACTTTTCGTTGTAAAACCAATCAAAATCATCTCAATTTCTGTAATATGTCTTCCGTTCTATAAAATGAGACCAGGAAAACTAGAATACCATCATAAATACCATACGAAAATACAGTGCAAAGTCGCTGTTTTAAACAAAAAAAGAGTCGAAGTTTTTTTTTCTCATTGCGCACTGTGTGCTGCAGGATTTTTTTCATACTGTGCACACTGACCACACAGACCCATTCTTTCGTATGTAGGCCTACCATCTTTCTCTCACTAGATTTGAGGGTGTTAGAATTTAGGCGTACTAGTACGTCAATAACCCTGGGGCGTAAGCCGTACTAGTTCGTCAGAAACCCTGAAAGGGTTAAATGTTTACAAAATTTTTATTTCCTTAGATTTTTCCAATTGATATAGTAATTGGATTCAGGGAAACCGGCAGGCTGAACTTGAGCCATGGAGATGGGAAGTACAATGCCTGCACTCTGAAGGAGGGGTGTTAATGTTGCAGTTTTATAATTGTAGTGTAAGCTCTGACACTGAGAGCAAGTTTGCGAGCAGGGATCTCGACAGTGAAAAGGTTAAGTGGATTCCATTACTCCAGTTGATCAAATTCTTAGCTATTTTGATAGTATATCTTCCATTCTATTGATTCAGCACAAAAAATTGCCCATTCAACTATTTCAACAGAAGTCAGTATTTGCCAGTTTAACCCAAAATATAAAAAAAAAATTAAAAAATATACAGTGGACCCCCGCATAACGATTACCTCCGAATGCGACCAATTATGTAAGTGCGTTTGTACGTGTATGTTTGGAGGTCTGAAGTGGACTAATCTACTTCACAATATTCCTTATGGGAATAAATTCGGTCAGTACTGGCACCTGAACATACTTATGGAGTGAAAAAATATCGTTAACCGGGGGTCCACTGTATATGTACAGTGGACCCCCGCCTTACAAACGCATCATGTTACGTTAAATCCGCCATACAAAGCACTTGAACGCAAAAATTTTACCTCGCCTCATGATAAAAAAAACTCCCCTTATGTGATTCGTCCGGGATGTGTTCCATATGTGGCCTCAGCGCCAGTGTTTACAAGCCAGCCAGTGCGGTCGCATCTACGCATATATTTGGTACATTTCACATTATCCCAGTGTTTTTAGTGCTTGTAACTGCAAAATAAGTCACCTTGGACCCCAAGAAAACTTCTAGTGCCATCCCTGTGGTAGGAAGGGGCAAGAATTAGTATGGAATTGAAAAAAGAGATTAAGGAAATGTGTGCAGAATGGGTTGAACTGCAAACCTTTATGGATGAAAATCACCCTGACACAGCTTCTGCAAGCCATGTTGGCAACCTGTACACAAACAATGTTATGGCCCATTTTAGGAAAGTCTTAAAGGAACTGGAAATACAGAGCTCTATGGGCAGATTTGTTGTGCGACAGAGGTCCAGTGACTCTCAAGCTGGTCCTTGTGGCATTAAAAGAAGAAGGGAAGTAACCCCGGAAAAGGACGTACTACCTCAAGTCCTAATGGAAGGGGATTCCCCTTCTAAACAATAACTTCCACACTCTCCCTTCCTCCCATCCCATCAATCATCACCAGATCTTCAGTAAAGGTAAGTGTCATGTATTATATTATTAGTAGAGTAGTAATTGTGCTTGTCTTCTTCAGTTTGTGTGTATTAAAATTAATATTTCATGTGGTAAAATTTTTGTTTTTTTCACACTTTGGGTTGTCTTGCACGGATTAATTTGATTTCCATTATTTCTTATGGGGAAAATTAATTCGCCTTACGATAATTTTGGCTTACGATGAGCTCTCAGGAACAGATTAATATCATAAGGCGGGGGTTCACTGTTGTCCAAAATGAACAGTGACATTACTGGCACTAAAACAAGGACGACTCTATTCATTAATCCTGTTCTCACGCCTCTCCTATATATCCTATATATAACACTTTTCATCCATTTTGAATTCATAACAGCACAAAAATAGATTTACTCTATTGCCCTTATAATTAAACCCTAGAGCAATAAAATTCTTATACAGTATATTCATTACTTACCTTAAAATATTTGTAGTCTTAATGTAGGGTTGTCATGTAGGGGGGTAATGGACGTGTGGATAATTGGGGAATATGGGAGTAAAGGGAGGGAAAAGGGGCAGGGAGTAGGCAGGAGAGGTGAGTTGAGTGATTAGCGGAGGTAATGTAAGGTCACTGCAACTTAACCATCACCTCTCATTACCTCTACCACCACACTACTCACCCTCTCACTACTTAAAATAATGAATAAAAGAATAAATAAATAACGGGGACAGTGACTATTACTATTCCACTCAAACACAGTTAATTATTAAGTCCTTGTACAATAATATATTTGGGAACAGGAGAACCCTATTGGCTTTAGATAAATGGAGATGGTACACATAAGAAGTGAGACAGGGAATACAATCAACTGACGAAATAGAATATAACTTGCAGTATAGTTCAGAGGGTAATTCACCACAGGAACTAAGTCACACTAGCCACAGGTCCCAAGACCTACACAGCTGAGTACTGCTCCATGCCAGTACTCTGCCCACTGTCTCCAACCAAGTCTCCTCCAGAGAGACTTCAGCCACCTTCTCCCGAGCTCTGCACACAGGCCAGAGCTCCACTCGAATCTCTCCTGCTCAGCTGTTCCTTGGGCTTATATGGTCCTCAACCCCCCCCCCCCCACACACACACACACACAATGGGGTGTGTACCCTGTGTTTTAACCTGATGCCAAGATCTGATGCCGTCAAGAACAAAAGACCTCAGACTTGACCCCTTCAGGGTCCAGGGCCAAAATCTGAAGTGGTGTCCAAGAAATTTTGAAAAAAAAAAAAAAAAAAAATCTTACAGAATTAAAGAGCATATTTTTGTGAAGGTAATAAGACAAAAAAAAAATTCTGATCAGTACTTACCGAGATACAGTGCCGAGAAGTTGACCCAAAATGACCTGGTGGTGGCAACAGCGACGATTTCCACATACGCGCATTACTTTATTTAACGTTTTTTGTAGTTTTTTCTTTTCTAATTTTTTTCTTTTCCTACTAACATTTGGGGCCTGAGAGACCAATACTGTATATAATGTATATATATAAACTCACTGTATTGAACACAATAACCACACTAAAGTTATTATCATATTATTGTTTACCACTTTTGTTTATTACAGTAAACATGCACAAATCTTGTATAATACTAATGTTCTATCATATATTTACAATCACTGGACATGGTTTTAGAACTGCTGGAGCTTGTGGAACTCCTTGAAACAAGGCACCATGCACAGAGGTACCTTACATTCCTCACACATAAACCGAGTGTCTTTGCGTCTTTGTTGCCGTTGTTTTGTTTGTGTACAAACAACACATCTCTTCTGAGCAAATTTCTTCTGAGTTGAAGGAAGCTGTATTATGAAATGATCACCTTCCCTCCTCAAACGCTTGGGTATATTCTCAGGAATTCGAGGACCTTGTTGTATAGCAGGTGTTGTTACCTGGTACTTCATTATGAGTTGTCTGACAACAGACAAACAAAATTCACCATACGGTGGTCTGTTGCCAGTCTTCATTTGGTACATATTATATGCATTGAGCATTGAAATGTCCATGAGATGGAAGAAAAGTTTCATGTACCACTTGTAACTTTTACGAACACAATCAACAAAGTCAATCTGCATGTCACATTTGTCAACCAAGCGCATGTTTTGTGTATAATCAATCACTGTCACTGGTTTTCGAATACGTTCATTAGTCACTCGATCAACTTTGCTACTGTCTTGCATTTTGTTACGGTGAATGGTTGTCAACAATGTGACATCTCGTTTATCATGCCACCGTAATGCCATGATGTCATTGGCAGTAAACACCTGCACGTCATCACCACGAGCACCTGCGTTGAGCCTGGGCATATGTTTACGATTAGAACGCACTGTGCCACACACATCTGTCTTGTTCACTCGCAAGAAATCACTGAGTAAAGGGCTTGTATACCAGTTATCGGTATATAATGAATGCCCCTTACCAAGATAAGGTGCCATCATGCTTCTCACTACGTCACCTGAGATACCCAATAACATCTTGGTATCTTTCAATGTTTTACTTCCCGTGTATACAACAGTATCCAATACCAG